CGACAGGCAAGACCCGCGCTTTCCAATGCGCCTTGGCTGGTCTGTTGAGGACAACATGATTAGCGGTGGGAACAGAGTCTACTCGTCGTTGCAGGAGTACACCTTGCACAAATATGCTAGAAGTCATCGGAGAAATGTTGAACAAAAATTCAAAATTGCCGTCGAGGCTTTCACAGATGCTGAGCGTCATCATGGAGACCTCACCTTCGCCGCAGAGGACAAAAGCTTCACCGCTGAAGAACGTCTGCTACCTACGCCCAAAAGATTCGAGTATGCAGAAATTGCTGAGCTGCCTTCTGAAGAGGACTCCGTGCCAAGTGACGTCCCTGAAGTTAAAACGTCACGTATCCAATACTCTCCCCTCCCCCACCGTGTCCGGTTTACTTGCAAACGGCAAAGCGTCGACGCAAATCAGAATTTCAAATCTGATAAAAGGTAGGAGATTTGTGAATATTTTTATATAAAACACATCCAGTATGATAAATTAACTTTTTTTTCACAAAGATATATATATATATATGAATTAATAAACAAACAAATAATTTAGAACTACTTTAGATCTTTCAACGAAGAATGAAATATAGGCGGTATAAATAAAATGATAGCACAAGATCTTGAAACGATTTCATTATCTCATCGTACCAGTAAATGCTTAATTTGTCTGTGGATTGGTCATATACCTTTTCTCGTTTCCAAAGATTTTGTTTTCCCTTTTTGTTAATGTTGCATAGATATGTGAAAAATATCTTTAAAAAATAGTGTAGCTATTTAATTCTTAAAATTCAACTATATTGAATGATTTTAATTAATTATTACTGCTCGGCTGATCGATATATAATCTAAATTGATGAAGAGATTTGTTAGATTCACATCGCTACCAATAGAGGGCGGTGAAGGCGCGAATAAAACACCACCTGTCATATTCCTTTCTCTCTTTCGGGAAAGATGGCGCCACCGTCGCGCTCACCTGTCTGCCTGTTGCCCTAGCATACATAAGTAAGGTAAATATTTAATTAGGGTGAAATGTGTCAGATTAATTAGACAGGCACCATTGTGCCACAGCTTGCATTCCGCACTCCTGGTGTTTCATTTATTGAATATATGATTGTAAGGTTTGTGTAAGACAACCCTCGGGCGATGTTCGGGTGCCCTCTCTGATATTGAGAAATAATGAAATAGTGATATCAATATCCATTGACAAAGGCATTACTTCATTGAACAAGCGCGGTGAAATACTGAACAAACAGTACTATAATAGTAACACCCTGGCGCGTGTGCACAATTGACACCTTTTCGCACTCTGGCATATTCTTCGATGTCACTATTACACCCGCTCTTACTGCAGGTCCCGTCAGTCTGATACAATTCAATTTTCTTCATTGGCACAGGTGTCCTTTGAAGTAAATACGTTGTTTGAAATGCAAATCTTCCTTTTAATAATGAGTTTTATGATTTTAGCAAATATCATAATTGTTTGATGGGTGGGGCTTAATTAGGCAGAGTGACAGGCTTGGAGACTTCTGTTCTGGCCTACTGCTCTTCATCATTTCCCCAGTGCTAAAGTGACTTTAGCTGTACAGCCAGTGGTCTTCTCGCACGTCTAATACTGTCTTATATAGGCCAGCTATGTAAATTTCAGATAATAACCTCTAGCGGACGTACATGCATCATTATATCTCAATTAACTGGTCATAGGCTGCCAAATAGTAATGAGAAATGTGGTTGTTGAACCAACGAGACACATTTTAAAATGATTTTTTAGATGCAAGATGCATGTACAAGCAAAGAACATTTGGTTTTACACGTTTAACAGTTCAGTTTAATATCAGAGACCAAATTTAATACGAGACAGGCCCGGTCTTTTCGAAAACCACTAAAGCAGCCGATAACATTGGAACAATCAATACCCAAAGACATGCTGCCCAGCTGTCGGTGTAATGTGTATGGAAACGTGGCTACCACTAATGTTCTCACCTGTATGCTTTACGCAACATATTAAAATTTAATTCGATTACTCTGCCTTGATGAAGACACGTGCGGGAAGACGGGAGTTTTACTGTCCTGTTATACTTGGAGCATATAGGTGTATATAACGGGGGCAAAGGGGAGGTTTTCAAAAAACAGACCTGTAGATTTAATTCCCGTTTTGCCAAAAGGCAAAAAAAGAAAAGATCCCTGAAAAGGCCGTTAATTTTTCTCCCCACACACACACACACCAAAATAATAATAATTAATCTCCCTGTTGTGTGGAGTATAAGAAGCGTGAACATGCGATGACTTCAAAAGTGGACGCTATGTTCATGTGATTTCAAAATTAATACAGTTAATGTCGTGATGATTGCGTCTCCTCTGCAGCCACACGCACTGATCAAGTTTGATTGCAGAAGTCAAATTTAGGTTTCGTGTTCTCACCATTTGGGTGAATCGGAATTGAGATGGGGAGAAGAACCTTATAGGGTGGATGTGAGGCATGCCCAGGACAAAATACCACCATACATATTAATCCTCTTAATAATAACATCGAATACGCTAGCTGCTATTATCATAACTGAAAAGGGATCAATCGGCAAACAAACTGAGCCCGGCGTCGATCTCTGCACGAGAGAGTGTAATTCCACAGATCAATACCACAAGACCGAGGGCACACAGCGACGCCGTCTTGTGCTGTCATGTGCCATGAATTATTCAATAAAGAATTCTATGTATTGATGGAAAGTATTGACAGATGCTCTTTCTTTTTTACCAGTATAATGAACTGAAACAATTGCTATAAACAGCCCCATTGGATAAGATAAGAAAAGCGGGATGCTGGGTGGCTTAGAATGAACTAGACTCTGTTGATGTCGTAGCATTAAGAGTATTTATGTAGCCAAATGTTCACAAGCACAACGAAGCTCTGTTTTTGCTCCAAATTAAGTAGGATAAGTCCATATGACTGAAATTGTCATTTATAAATGACGAAAACTAATAAGATACAAAGTTACAAAACTGGGGAGATAATAAACATCCCCCAAACTATATAAGTGCTAAATATAAAAATAATAAAGTATGTTAATGAAATGTAACCAGGATTAATTATGAAAAATATGAGAAATCACAACAGCTATAGGAGCAAAAAGTTGTATTATGGATAGACATTTGCGCTGATGCGTAGTGAAGGGATAGTGTCAGAGTATACATGTGCTTTCTCTATCTCTTTATTACTTAAATGCTAAGCAGTATGTACCCAATGCCTCTGTTGTTTAAGACAAAATACCACTGTTTTCCCCGAGAATGCCTTTGAAACTGGAATGTCAGGGATATCTTAGCAGAGAATTACCACATTTCTAAAGCATCATAGGATTCACAGACGCTTTTCTCCGAAACCAATCAATTTATTGTTATAAGATCTGTCTGGTCTAATAAGGATAATTGAAAATTGACAACAGATGCGAATGTAGGGTGTAAGGTATCAACCAAAAAGGGAAAGGAGAATGGAAAGGACGCCTTCTTAATATGGTTTTCATCTCATCAGAGGGCATAAAAAACATTTGCCCTAAACCACTTTTGTTGCTAAGATTATATTAACGGTGAACAGAATTCTCTTTTTCTTAATCTTTGTGGTGTTCTGTAATGGTGAAATTTGGGAATCTACTAGAGAAAAATATTGTCGTATGCACAGTTCATGTCCGTTTCATGATTAACTTTCAATACACGGGCAACGTTAATTAATTGATTAATTAATTACGTACTTGGCATAAGATTCAAAGTAATGTCACTTACAGTAATTTTCTTTGTTCCAATCCTAACACCGTAGATATAATACATAAATACTCCGTCCGAACAGAGTTAAGAATTAATAAATGATTAAGTTGTGTAATCGTACATCCCGCTTAGAATGAGAACAATATATTTCACTAAAACACAATGCTATTACCCGCCAAGTGCGTAATCGTTTCATTTCATTTTCCTGCATTATTGTTATTTTTATCTCCAAATTCAGATACTAACTGAAACAGTTAAATTCATAAACATCAAGTGAGTAATTTTTATTCAACAAAATTTATAAGATAAATTGTGTTTAGAAACATGCTCGCTGTGAAAAAAATATCACTTATCCCCTAGCCCCCCCCCCCCCCTTAAAGTGCACACGATTGTTATCAAACGCTATATAAACTCTGTGGATTGTGCTTATCTTAGTGTGAAAAACATAAAAACCTGACTTGCCTTTAATTAGAATTTTTCAATTTGCAAAACGCTATTGCACCCAGATTCAAAACAACGACTTACTGTATCTGAAGTTACATTCTTATTCGTTTTACTTAATCGCATATAAATCATTTATTGTCTAATAACTCGCAACGAAAAAAACCAACCACCGCATCAAATTCAAATCATCTTATTTCGTTAACCCTTGCTATGAGCTGTTGCATGCCTGTCTGCCCCGTTATGCTTTAACTGTACTTGTCGTAAAGCCTGGTTGTAACGCTGTTAGAAGATGAATAGTTTTAAATGAAGTTTATTTTGTAACTGCATCATGAAGTACGGGAAAGTAGAATAAACAATAGTAACATTGTACAAAAGGAAAAAAGACATGAGCTCTACATCACATTCAGGCAATCCATCTGGGACAAACTAATAAAACAGGTGTACAGAAATAAGAAAACTAATGCTTTAGTTGATATTCAAAATTTATCGTCCGATAATTTCATCTTCTGATCGCGATCTGGGACTAAGCCAGCTTTTCGCTGGGCTTGTTGGGACGAAAGTCCATCCTGTGCATTTTTCCGTGCCCAAGATGTTGCCGAATTGATTACCTTTTCCCCTTCATCAATATCCCAAACAGTAGCCCCGTCTTGAGATCCCTCCGTAACTCCCTGATAATGAGAAGGAGAGCAGAAAACAATACATCTTCTGCATTGATTACTCGGCAGCTGTATTAATTTCTTCATCGATTATTGATGCAAACAGCGGTAGTGGGGCTTGTCCGCGGAACACCTGGCACATGTGTCGTACAGCGAGTCGTAAGAGCTCGCTTGTCACTGTTAAGAGGTGTGTTGTACTGACTGTAACTCTCAACATTGGTCCGGACATGGGATAAGTGGGACTTTTGATTCCGTAGGATATTAAACGACACCATGAAGTCGAGTAGAAATGAACGTAGGCGTGTTCGGAAAAGTGCTCACGTTGTTGAGTAGTTTCCGAGTTGAGAAGTTAATTTTGCTAAAGAAAGGGTGATAAGGCAGACAGCAACTGGTGTGAATTCTTAACGCGCGCTTCGACACTTCTAAAAAGGAAATTTAAAGATTGTTCATTTCGAGTACGTAACTTGACGCCTTTGGAGAGATACTGAAGGAGAATTCGAGCGTTGAGAGCCCACTCGCTTAGAAAGTTGGAGAAAGTTGTTGCCTATTGTTTCGAAGTGAGTATTGAAAAATCAATTTTGGCAACATGGCGCCTCCTCGAGTCTGTTGGACCCAAGCGCCAAATCTGGTGATTTTGTAAGCGCAGCGCAACGAAGGATCAGCGTGCTCCAGGGGTGTAGGCACGCGATCTTGCAGTTAGTGGACCGGTTGCTCTACCAATACCATTATGGATAAGCTAAAGCCAGCCCCGTATCTGTTGGTTAATAAGGTAACCAAGGGCATCCCATCTCCAAATATCTCGGCGCGATATGAGAGGGAAGAAGACGAAGGAAGGTCGCAATATGAGACGATGGTGAATGTGATGAAGACGCTTCAATGTGCAGGGGCCTCCCAGAAAAAGAAAACATCGCTGTCGCCCACGATGACTCCCGAAGAGCGGAAACGCGAGAGAAACAGCAGTGACAAAACAGTCACGTTTGCGTTGAACCACAACGCACAAATGAAGGCACCAAGACCCGACCCCAAAGAAGGGGTCGACGAAAAACGGATGGAAATGAAAGGAAGCGAAGCTACAAACTTCTTACAGAGTTTCAAGACGAAAAAGCGGGAAAAGGATAACGAAAAATTCGAGCGGATTCAGAGTACAATTAAAGGATATAAACAAATTTACGCAGAGGCTCGCGCCGCTCAAAGAGAACAGGCAGCTGCGGAGATGCAACCAATGCTCAACCATACTGCTGAGATCCTTCATCCTGGGTGAGTAAAAAATGCAGAAGTACCCTTTTACATCCCCTTCGCCATCCCCTTTGTGCCCATAATTATATCCATAAAGTCATTGGTTGTGAAAGTTTCTAGCAGTATGGCTTATCCGTAAAAAAATGGGTGACGCGAGTTGACGGCGTTATACTTTAGTTTACATGTAACTTTCAAATCATTTTTAAGATTAAATTTGTGAATGGCCCTGTGATTCCTCCTTTTCTACGAATTTTAAAATGGTGATAGGTGCAATTACTGTGATCTTGTATATTAAGTAGATTGTGACAGCTTCTGACAAATTATATTGAAAAAGGTCAATGCTGGGATTAAGCTTCGAAAAATATGGTCCATCGGAATTATTTTTAACAATTTGCAATCACGATATCTTAAACAAGTAGAACGACATTCGCCACGACTTGCTTTGATCTCAACATTGCCAATTAAGATCTGTAAGACATATTTGTGAACTGTATAATGGTTCCCCAGCGTGTAACTTCCGAAACTTAATGATTAACTCTCCAACGTTTAATCTGGGTCCATTTTCTCACACGCTAAATGTATCACTTACTCCCCCTGAAAAGAACCCTTAAAGCATGTTCGCACATTTGTGTTTATAACCAATTCACTAATTATTTTATATTTGTTCATTCGTTCAGTGCGTCAACAATGCAAAATATCGATCGCTTGTAAGCAGACGATCGTCCGTCGCGAATTGACTGAACACAGACACGCACGCGTTTGTAAAACTAACAGAAACCAAGATCCTATTTAATGAGGCATAACTGCTGTATTCCATCCATGTCAGTGCTGCAGAGATAGTTTCTTTATTGGCTCCATTGAAATTTACATCACTGCGGTTTAGTTTTGCATTTCTTAACACAACTAATCGCAGCGGCAACCCATTACTTTTTCCTTAAGCATCATACAAAATGTGCCCGATACTTACGCCGTTTGAATAAAACGTGTAGCAATTAGCGTGAATTTTGCTGCATGTGCTAAAGTAATTCATTTTAACAGACTAAATATTAAGCAGCTCTACGACAGTTATAGTACATATGCATGATATCTGTTGTATTATTCATACTGCAGTTTTCAAAATGCAAAGCAAAGTGAACGAATTACTAGATGTTATTGATATAGTGTTACTAAGGCCCATCTTATAACTTGGTGCATTAAATAAACTGCAAATATTTGGTAAAGTTCGATTTTTATTTAAGTGCAAACATCATTTTAGATACGCGCTTAATTCCTATCATTTAGATATCTAGGCACAAGTTTCTGAATTGAAATGGCAAAGGAGAAACAGTTTTTTAACTTGCTATTTTTTCACTGCTCTTCAGTCTTTACGACAGTACTTTGGGCGTATTTTCCGTCATATTCTTAGGTCTGAATCTTCACCTACTTTTTAATTGGACCTCCCCCCTCCCTACCAATGGACTGAAGCAAAACTATTTCAATAAAGACCACGAAGGAAAATTTTAACAAACATGTCCTAAGGCATGTCATGGGCATTGATAATTATTATTTTGGTAAATTGGCGGACAAACAGCGGACGGGAAAGAAGATCGCCTGAAATATCGATTATAATATATAGATATGGTCTCCACACTCCTTCCATTCTACATAATTTCCAGCACCGTTTCCCATCTGAATCTTAATCACACAGTTGGTACTCATTACTCACGTATATACTGCCAATCTCAAATCTTTTTTTTTTTCAACACATCTGTGTCGTGTTTCAAAGGAAGGAAGAAAGACACACACAGGGGAAAATAAGCTACCCGCAAGTGTCATTCTCTATTTCAAAGAGTCACTGTGGCCTAAATGAGACGAAATATTTACAGGCTGTAGGTTTTATATAATGGTCTCGCAGCTACACAATTGCACGTATTAAAATTAATTCGATAAGACGTATTGATTATACATGCAACTGTACAACCAGTCGTGCATACCAAATAAGTAAATGACTTTACGCCTCCCCCCCCCCCCCCCCATCCTCACTCACTGCAACCCTTGCTTTCTCTCTTAGTATTAGTTTGGCAGTCGCATCTTTCGTTCATCTGTTTGTATCAATATATCCGTGTATTTATCCACTTAATATCTTGTTCCCGATTTCGATCTCGTGTAAGACATGAATGATAGATGTTATTTTATTTCGCATAATAGAATTTATATTTCCCATTCAACTTAAGTTCAGCCAATTCCAATGGTGAACATTCCTTAATCATGTCATTTAGCCTTCGTTGGCCTATCTACAACACAAGTACCACTGTATCTATCATTATTCACGTATTCATTCATTAAGCCGTCCATTCCGACAGTATCCCATTGCCCCAGTATTTAATTCCAGTTTACAGCTGCTTCGCTTCTCTAAACAAAGGCGAGGTAATCCGCTCCGTATAATTAGGTAAGGTAATTCAGTTTAGGCACATAATTACGAATTATAAATCAATCGCCCGAGGGTTCTGTTTACCAAATTCTTTTCCCTCAAATTAATCACCAGTGTTTTGGTATCTATTTTCGGCCTATCCATCATATGTTTGTGTCATCATTCAATTAAAAGGAGCACGGTCAATATTTATATACGCAAGTCTTCGGTTTTGCATTGAAGTCTCCGATATAATCCCGATTAACGGTGTTCCGTGTGTGTTTTTCGATATACCCATGAGTGGCCTGATTGGACGAACACCAAAACCCGTTGCCAGCGTCACAATTATTATTATTATTTTAATATGGCAAAATTATTGACTTTGATTTCCCGAGATGAAAGAAAGCCAATGCTGCTACAGTGGGCAGGTGTTCTGGCACCGTGGGACTTCCCTTACGCACGCAAAAAACAATGGTTAAAAATAATAATGAAAATGCTGAATATTGTTCCCTCTGCTTGTGTTTATTAAATACTTTTCCGGGTATTTCCTTGAACAACAAAACAAATACTGAATATTTTCATTTTAAAAGGACATGATTAACTTGAATTATCATTAATAAAAAATCATAATATTACAATTTCTGCCACAGCTGTCAAGCGCTCAATAAAACTGTGTGTGATTTATATATAGATTTCACTTCACCGAATATTCAAACGATTCAAATTGAGCACTGTCCTCAGTATCCTACGGTATATATACTACAATAAGTATATATACTATAATAAGCTTAAAGCCTTTGCAGTATACATCAAAATACTCCAAAAAAGTTATAATTACGATGCATTTAACCGAACATCGTAATAAAAAGTCACAAGTTGTTTTTGTTTTACATATGCGGTTACCCATCTAATGCTACGCACAAAGCCCTATTAGCATGCCTGAAATTGTGTTAGAGTTGCAAACACAGTTAGTTCTGCATTCCTAATAGAGCGTGCATGTACAAGTAGTACAACCATCGCAAGGGAGATGCAATACAATTACTTTACAGCCTTCTTCAGTCTACGCCATCTATCGCAGTTTAAATGAATAGTCAATAATAAGTTAAGGATTCCGAGTTAAGTAGGTCCGCTGTCTAGCAATTTATACGTGTTGTATTTTGACATGGGTAGCTCTAACTTGGCTGTACTAGCAGTGCCGAAGTGTTACCCAATGGTATACAGTATATACATGACTGAGCATTGAAGTACACACCGGCAGACTATAAACATGTATACCTCACTCCACAAACTGATTTTTACAATCAAAATCTGAGCTCGATTTACCTCAACCTAATAGCATAGCAACCGTTTCGTCTATAGTAGGCTATTTTGTCAATTACTTCAAGTAACATCATTGTTTTCTGGCGTGTTTCTGGCCTAACACAATTTCAAAAGTCAAACTAATTAAGATACTGCATCTGGAATACTGGATGTTTGATTGAAAACCGGATATAATCTCGCAAAAAAAATTATTCAACTATGACAAAAGATTATTTAAATTCATCACATCAATTGTAAGCAATCAATGAACAACGCAACCTCTGCAAAAAGTCACTGTTTAATATAATGTATTTGCCACTGTAAAGCAAATTATGCATGTAGGATCTATACAGCGTATATTCTGCTGTGAAAAACCGGGAGAGATCGTCAGGTGCTGACATCTATCGAACGTTCATATGCTTGATTATTTCTCTATCATCATATTATGATGTGATCTAGTATTACCTGCCGGAGATACAATAAATTATACAGTATGCTGTTATTAGACCATCCAGTAGGTCCTGAATACATTACAGCTTCAGCGATCGATACTTGCAAACAGTGGCCCTGCAGGCGTCAGGCGGTTTGATAAAATGCTGTTCAGCGTTTGCCCAAAAGTACATTTTTTTCTGTTGAGGCTTGACTTGTACATCTGATAATGGTATTTGACAAATTGACCGGCTCAAAAAAAGCTGTTTACCAAAACGTATGTACACTGTATATTTCTCGAAATAGACGCTACGATTTCCCAGGATTGACTGCTAGTGACACCTAGGGACTAAAAAAGCATCTTTTAAGAGTCCCATCAGATCTAGTTTTGAACATCTTCAATAGAGAGCATGTTTCTGTCGACATGTTTATATTTACACAAAGTGCTTCTGTAAGATTGGGGCTGATATATTTCTCATATGTGCTCTACATACCACCAGCACGTGATATGTTGTAATGTTTTCTTGATTGGAAATATGCCACTAATAAATAAACGAAGACATAGGCCCCTACTAGTACGCTTAAATTTTTCCATAAAGATAAAAATGCATTTTAGTCCAACTATTATTTACGCTTAATAATATAATAGAAAGAAAAATGGCTAACAATAAATCCTATAAACCCTTTATTCATTAACGATGCTCAAATATATGCATTAATAAACGATAAGAAAGTAGCATTGAGTGGTTCCTGGTGTGTAAGAATGCTTCGTTATGTACGCCTAGTTCAATACCACCTCAAAGACACACGAAGCATTAGCTGCATTTAAACGCCCACCAAGAAGGCAATCCAGAAAATTCAACTATTGATTTCTGGTGTTTGAGGTTTTTATTTTCTCCCCTTTTTCCCTCTGGTCACATATTGAACGCCGTAAAAGTATAATTAACAAGTCAGTGATATCGTCCTGTGTCAATACAACCGCGAGTCCTTTTCTATTGTCAATAATGTTTTAGCGAGTTCCCACTGCCAGATATATTGGGGCTATTCCCGATCGTAATTGTTTATTTCCTGGACACCTTTGACCGATGACTTAATATTACACCAAATCATCCCATCTTATTGCACGTCGGTGGCCTGCAGATACTTTCTGCCAATATATTGTCCCAAAACTCCGTGGAAATATAACTGATGATATAGGATATTAGTCCCAATATCTCCTCTTTTCACTGTTCATGTTTAATGTTAATTATGATAATAATAACAATAACAGCAACATTAATGACAGTGATAACAAAGGGACTTGCAGTTTTCTATGGACTATCTACCAAGGCCACAGATTGATCTTTCACTAGATATTAACAGATATGTCTCTGGTTAAATAGATGGCTAATCTCTGTACTGTGAGCCTCAGCAAAAATGTCCACAGAATTATAACTGCGGCCCTGGTAGAGGGTACAAATTTGGTGTCAAATGTGCAATAGTTTTATGGTGCATGTGCAAGTTAACTTTAAGTTGCTGGTTAACCAAAATCACGAACTTAACACATCGTCGGGTTGTGTCATATAGTGTAGGTATATTTGATGTATTTAGTTATTCAATGTTTGACGCAGACTTTATAATCTGTTTAAGGTGTATGTTTGGTATACACGCACTGTTTTGACTGACATTGACAAGCTGCAGTAACGCAAATGCCACCTTTATTCCTCAAATTAGAAATGTAATAATTCACTTAACTCTCCCACTTGTTTTTGTATTCATCACTTTAACTGTGATACAGAGAGAGGAGTGGGGAGGGGGTCCGGTTTGTCGGTAATTCATTATTTTCTCTTCTTATTTGCAGAAACCCGTACCATAAAAAGTGGATAATATTTTTATTAATTTTGCTGAATTTATCTAACTGTACTAGTAGGTCATGCCCAATTGCACAAGCTAAGACAGCAACCGCCACTTTTATCGCCCTCGTCACACCCTTAGAACCTGAAGCTCGGGTTAACCTCGTAAATATTTGGTTGTCAACTATTATACGCTGCAGGTGGTGTACAAAAATGTGATCACTCTCTTTCCATCTCATTGAATCAGATCCTTCTCCTTCGATCGCCGTTGTTTCCAACCCAACCAAATATTGCAAAGCAAATGTGAGCCGCCATCGGCAGATGGTGCATGTTAAATATGATATTCCATTAATATCGAAATTGCATCCAATTTGTCCGATAAATGCAGTTTTCATCACTCTGGAATCCATAGTCTGACTACGTCATGTATTAATGTGGAATAGACATTTACTGTAAAGTGGCCTTAGACGTATTTCTCCGTGTATAATTTACAAAATACATTAGTCACAGCAAGCACAAGAATTTCTCCTTTTTTAAACTTTCTTGTTATATTTTGAAAATATCGTCAAAAATATAGACATAAGCCCAAGTATTCACTATTTGCGATGAGCCTGCACTTTGAAGACATATAAATGTATAAATCACCAGGCGCCTACAGTGTTGATGGCATATTAAGTCACAGTGCCCGTTCCTCTGGGGACTACATCTGCGATATTAACTTGGATCACAATGTAGGGCATGGGAAACCATCAGCGTCGTGTTTTTATACTTTTAACACGAAATTGCAACATCAACATCGTGTTTTTATACCTTAACTGATTTTACTATTAAGAGAGTACATTTCAGCCATTATGTTTTACTCTATTTATTTATTTGCTACATTCATTTGTGAATAAGAAGAGCTAGCTTCGTTTAACATGACAACACAAAACGCAGACAATCTAACTGATTTTCCTTTTATTTAAACAGTTTTATCATTAAAAACACAATATTCATAGCAAATATATTTGCTTCAAACGTACAGTTGCACAATATTGCTTGTCTGTTTAACATGCAAATTACCTCAGACGTGTCCATCGTCTGCTGTAATTGTTGCTGAAGAGGTATATGTTTAATCACAGCAGTTGGCATCCTGAAACAAGGAAGTTCAAAGTAATGACACATTTGCTGTTGTGAAATGTCTTATGTAGTGGAATTGCATGGGAAAATGCTTTCAACATTTTTTGAATAATTCATTAAGTCTCTTCTCTGTTGTTTGCTTACCAAATTAGAAATGTGCGACTATATAGGGGAGAATATTTGGTAACATTAATAAATCCACTTTGCGGTTGATGACTATTAAATATGTCGTGTTTTGGAGATTGAAACTATTTAAGTTGTAGGAAAAAGCATTGAAATTTCAGCTCATGCCTATAATGACAAAATATGGTAATGTTATTTGGTCTGATCCAAGAAATTCAATATATGATTTCAAAAACGTATTGAAATACAGTAATCTGAACTAATGAATAAAGATTAAGTTAACATTGGGCATATCAGCAAAAATGTCGAAAGCGCAATCAAAATTTCTTACCTGTATTGTTTGCCCATACCCTTTATGCCTTTAGCACAATATCCGAACGTATTGTCTAAGTGTGTACCTTATAAGGTGAAACTTTTTTTAAAAACCCATGAACGGCGATCTATTTTCAATACACATAGGCATATACGCAAATTAAGCTAATGCAGAATATTACAAAAACACTCGTGTTCCCGCTACAAATTATAATCGTTAAATAAGCTTGATTTTAACCTTTGTATTTAGACGAAGCAAAATCACTTCTTAACACCAAATACTGCCATCAAAACTCCGAACAAATTTATCCCAAATTGCACAGTAACGAAGTTATTGACATTGGTCTTGAAATAAGGGTCAACGCGTTTTCACAAACGGAAATTTATATGCCAGCCATTGACTGGCTGGAATATCGGAATCATGTGTGACTGGGTTTCTATTGGGTGGTGTGTGTTATTTACTCAGCCCTGCAAAACACAAGAAGACCGATATATATAATCAGGAACGGCTGTACTTAAATGGTTTCCAATGTCAAAACAAATGAATATGAAATATGATTTTGATTAGCATTTATTTTAACTAATTGACATATCTTCGATATATATACATGTATGTCACTACTTTATTCTGAGTAGTGATATTTAGATCAATGTTGATGTAATTTCTCTTCGGTGATATAGCCCAATCCGATTGTGTCGAATTAAAAATGTGCCATTTACGTAAAATATGTTATTAAGAAGCGAACCATGTGAATAAGCCAGCAAAACACTCCATTCGATATTGCACATGTTTTGTTTGTCAGCCTATCAAGAAGTAGGCCTGTTTAAAGCTCGCTGGCTCCGGTCAATAAAGTCCTGAACAAACTGTCAATTTCTGTAGTAAGTATAAACCTCATCAATAATACATGCAAATGCAACTTTGTAATGGCGGGCCTCTGGTGGTGATTCTATGATGACGTCACAATTTACAAAAGCACACAAACACGGCTGTGATAGAAATTAATTTTTGTGGTGCACTTATACATGTATGCATTTGGATGACTGCAGCTAGACTGAACTTTGGATTTTGTGGTACTGCAATCATAGACCGTGTGGATCAATACATCACCTAGATCTGCAAAACAGAAGTGGATACGACTTGGCAGGTGTGGCGTTTCCCTGATCAATATATTACCTCAAACTGTAGCGTAAAACAAAAGGATTAATATATGAAATAGTAACTTGACTCCTGCTCTCTGAACGTCTCCTGTCGGAAACATGCAATTTGACTTGGATTTGCATTTCAAGTATAACCTACTGACTATACATCGAATTATCCAGTGCCTTTGTGACGTCATGGATTACTCCGCGCTTTTGGCGACGTAAACTCGCGTGCGCGGCTCCTGGAACCCGGGGTCTCAACTTTGGATTAACAAGTCTTGGCTAATCATATAACAAAGACCGGAGTATCTATCCGTTAAGACACCGTAGCAGTCGTTTTAATTGACAAAGATAGTATTCTCGGTGAAATCTGGACATATATCGGATTATGCAACGCGACCATTCTCGGAGTACCATTGTTTGGAAGTATCATTGGATGATCGATCGAGGCCTGCCTAGCAAGCATACATGACGATTCATTATATTGCCATAGCATTCAGAGAATGATTTGAAGCTCACCAAACAAGAGAGAGAAAGAGAAGAAAAAGTGGCAGCGCTGTACGATATTTGTCAAATTGCTGCCCAAACTGAAACAACATGGCGATTGCAGAAACCAACAACTATGAATCCGCCAATAGCTTTCTAGAAGAGACTGCTTATGTTAATCTTGAATGCTGCTGAAATTAGTCTGGTTTATATACGCGTAAAGGCGACGACATCGAATCACCACCATCAACGAGGTCAAAACAGAAAGTGTTTTTTGTGCGTGTGTCCTTTGTTTTAAATTCGACTGATTTTGCATATTGTACTTATCATGGATGTCTTTACCAGGGTTGGGAGCTTGTCTCCGGGCGAAACTGGTCCAGATGGCAGTCAACGGTCTGGGAGCAAAGAAAATTCCCTAAAAAGTGGAAGCAAAGGGGCCAACAGACTTAGTCTTCCTGGAGTTGGTGGAACAAATACTCGTTCACTGTTCATCTTCAGTGAGGAGAACTTCATAAGAAAATACGCCAAAATGATAATTGAGTGGCCATATCCTTTTTCTGAACAACCGACGGATTATAAGGGTGTTCTCACTCTGTTATTATGGAAGTTGATAAATATACGACAAAGGTAAGTCTTACTGGCGTGCTCAGCCGAAGAAATAACTACAGTATCAGAGGTAAGTGGCTATGTGACAGAATGCATGTTGATAATGTGCAAAAATTAACCACCCCATTGTACAATAACTAGAAACAAAAACTCTTACCAAACTTCTCTTTAAGTCTTTGTCTGTGGCATGTTATATATGATACGCGCTTACTCTCCAAGCAAGCATGTCAGTGAGATTCCAACACGTGGTCCACGTGTCCTGAACAACCCAAAGTGCCAATCACTCCAAATGGGTTATCATCCACAAATTATCAAATACGTTAGATAGCGGTCGATACTCAATATACCTAACCAGGTAACACTCAGTTTACATGTAAGTGTGTGTGTGGTATTGCATATTTTCATGCCTATCAACTTAACGCTTTTGTTACGAAACGCTTAAATTGATCAATAAAATATATTTCAAGTTAGCCTTGTCGAACGATTCTAGGAGGTTCTACAACACTTTAACTTACATCTGGTGGCTTCATTATTTCTTAATTAGTTTGCGAAATAATGAAGCCACAAATGGTCTACATTTATTTAAAATTAGCTACATTCTTAACGTCATAACTGATAATTATGTACCAACTACCAGCTTGCATTTTCTCAATGTAATGTACTGGTATCTTATGCTAGGCACCATTAATGGAGTTAGATTAGGACATATTGATTGGGAAATTTCTTCTGTAATATTTCATGAAACATCATTTTGACAACTTGGCGTAATGGCTCGATCGTGAGCTTTAAAAAGGTGAAACTTGATTTCGTCAGCGTCCATGGTCTTAATGGATGGGTTGCTTAGATTTTTCTTTCCCCCGTAATTATGGCACGTGTCCCCAGTTTTCCTTTCCCTCAGGCCAGCAGTGAAATGAAATCTACTATTCCGTTAACATATCAAAAGACCAAGTTTTCTCAAAGGATTATACTTTAAAATTACAAGTACACACGGAAGCCAAGACTTGCAGCTACACAACCGCCTAGCTCATTGCTATAATGGCGTTTGTAATTACCGGCAACAGCTCTGTTACTGCCCTAAACTGCGGAAGGATACAATTAGAAGCTGTACCACAGCACTGATATTTTAGTTGGGTTTGACGACTTGCTTAATGAATATATGCGCATCTGAATGTATGGAGTCCTAATGCAGTTCCGAACACATGCATACGAAAGGCTGTCCCGGTTTTGTTTATACGCTGGTCATTTGTTCCACCTATCTGGGTCGCTGAAAGTGTGAACAGGGCGTGAAATGTATGATTTCAGTTTTACACAGTGCTCTTTCATCCAACGTAGAGTCATTAGTCTTAAAAATGTATTATTTGTGTCAGTACCTGGAAACTGTAGATTCACTTTGAGTTATACCTGTACATGTATGATAAAATCTGGTGCGTTAATGGATTTTTTCAGTATCGGTTAATGTTGACTTAATCTGTAGATGTAAAACACACAGATGAACACACAAAGGAGCACAACTATGGGATAAGTGTTCTAGATCATTCTCAATTCGTGTTTTCCGAGATTCATTAATAATTCGTATGGCATATTTTCCACTTTATGGATTGTAATGAGTTCTTTATAATTCAAGCTATATACTTGGCATATTCCCAGCATGCATTGCGCCGAGTTTTCTTTTTTAAAAGAGATGGCCATTATCCTCTCTTCGTTTATGCAAAACCTTACGGTCTTTGTATACGGGATAGCACACATTGTGTTTGTATATAATATTAAAAAAAGTAACCCATATTCAAATTGCCACCCCCTTGCCTGAACAACTGCTTCAGCTCTAAATTCCTTTAACCATGATGAACAATTTACTTGACAAAAATTAGCTTTGCTACGATCGACGTACTCGCTTTGGGAACGTGGTGACACTGAGTATAGCAAAAATGATGGCGTGGGGATAATTCTTGGATTTCAGACTGATTATTTGAAGGAGGTACGATGAATTGCACGCAGTTTTACAATGGTGATCTTAGATTTTAATCCTTGAAGAAGGTGAATTATACGATCACCAGTAATACAAGCTGTATTAGCTAGAAATACATCGGATAAGGATATTTGATGGAAAATATAAGGTGTGCATTGAGTTTCAAAATAAATTCGAACTATATTATTGAATGCGACAGATAAAAAAGTGAGACCGTCGTTATTTTTTGACGGAACAGACTAACTAACAGTCCTTATGCGTGCTCAAATTGTGGGATGCTATTTAATCTTTGAAAGATTTGCAGACTCTTAAACAGGGAGGGCGCTAAGACAAAATAATAATGACAAAAATAACGATGTAATAAAATAACGAAATGAAGAACTGTTGTGGCACTAATGGATTTTGTCGGATTGACCTCATCATGACTATATTGCATGCTGATTATACCCCCAATTTTTGTAAGTAACCAAGCAAGCCGCACCAGGCGCAGTGGAATACGGGCCCAAAGGGCAGAATAATTGTTAAGTTTCGGCCTACATGTTAACGTTCACCATAGATAAAACTAGCCGTGTCCTTACGTTATCCTGGCGCAGCTGTGCCTTCTATTTATTACCCTTTTTATTTTCAGTATCTTCTTCTCCCATTTCCCGTAGATACTCTAAGGTTAATCTAACTAAAATGAAACATTAGTTAAAAAGATGTAATCAATTGATCGCAAGTATCCCCATCGATTTTTTATCCTGACGTTTCTGACGGTACCATACATGTCGGGCTCTCGTGTTCGTATACACACAGCACATGTAAATGGATTGCTCTAAGTAATGTAATATTTTCCTGGTGATAATCGATTCTTGATTGTAGCTAGTTACTCTTAGCATAATGCACTTTACTGACTTGTGTATAATATTGTCGGAAGTTTCCTTACTGTGAGGTACTGGCTCTGTTCTTTGCTTTGTTCAGCATCACGTCTATTTGATGTTATGTTAAGGAAAGTAGAATTAATTCTTAACACTGACTTTACTGTTTGTTAATAAATAATAACGTTATAATCCTACTTATGTGTATTTTTTTTTTTTTTTTTTTTTGAAAAACATTGCACTTGTATGGAATATTTAAAAAAAGAATGCCATTTTACTGCAAAATACGAAAATTACAAATAAGTAACGCTGGACCTCATTGTCCAGACATCTATGTTCTCATCAGTTACAAAAGGGAAGGATGACTTGTTTTCTCAGTAAAAATTGAGTTCACTTATTTCACAAAGAGAGTTTGACAAGGTGCCGGCGGGTTTTCGTGCTAGTAATATATTCTGTGTCTTTGAAATCTAATTGCCTACTGGGAAAAAAATATAATTGTTCGGTAAATTATGAGTATATATATATACCATTTTTGTCCTTTACTGGTGCTATATTGCACCCCCACTGTTGTGTGTATCTTACTAGTATATTAGCGTTAGAATTTATTTATTTACCCATCCATTAAAAACATGGCAAGATGGAAAATGTAAAGGACGTTTATTGAAAGAAAAAGTGGCGTACTTAATTCGGTAATAGAAAACAACAGTACGTGTACATTTTAGATAAAACAAGGTAATTCTAATCTTAAAGATATGTTTGGAATATTTACTCGATGAAACTGATTTATATTCATTTCACAATTGGATACAAGCATGCTTGCTATTGGAAATACGATAGAATCTATTTTAAAAGCGACCATCCCCTTGCTTGTGCCAGCTTTCACAATCAAATACAACTATAGAGGTATGTTGCAATATTGAATTGCGTCTTAGTTCATTTTGACTCGAGAAAAGGGTTGGGCGATATTCCCAGTGGACAACGCGAAAATGGATCTAATTGAAGTTTTGCGAGGTTCTGACTCAACATGGGTAACAAGTATTAGCGTGTTGCAATCCCTCACTGGCCTATTAAGAAATTTCCAATAGTAATCTACAGTATCGTTTTGACTATTTTGCGATAATAAGGATGTGCCGTTGAAATAGCAATCCGTAGATTGAAGTAGGGCGTGCAGTTGATAATCATCTTATGAAATAGAGAGCTTTCGTAAGAGTTATGAAAATAGGGTACGCCCCCGCCAGTGCTGTCGTATTCAATAATGCTTTGATGCTTTTATTTCTTGAGAGAATACCTTATAATATTTAATGCAAAAGCATACTAGCCGTTGATGGCCACGACAAAAAATGACCGCTGAGAGAGCACCGCATTTAAAGGCTTTGCTAAACTGAAAGGGTATATTAAACTATTGTCAGCCTTTATGTTTTGTCATTGAAAGATTAATACAAATTTCATCCTCAGTTCCCATCTATAACCTGTTGACATGACTTGCTGAGATGCTCTAGACCATTTGGCATCCGCTGTTTTTGGTCGTTTTGCCCAGCTGTACAGCATAACGCACCCGCCTGGTACTCAGACTAGCATTGAAACAAATGTAAATTCAATGTATAGGCCTATACTAAAGGGACATATTGAAAACTCAGTTTAAATTAAACGTTTTGGTGCCAGGCCCGTAGCCAGGGGGGGTTCGGGGGGTTCGAAAGAACCGCCCTTTTTGCTCCGAAAAGGTCCACTCTGGATAAAATTTGATCTAGGTACATGGAAGATTTTATGGTAAAAGGTCCACTTTTTCAGAAAACGAACCCCCCATTTGAAATTGCTGGCTACGGGCCTGAGTGCTGACAGATATATTTCCTGTTTTAGTTAGTTCTGTTACGCATGCGGCCTTTAAACCGCACTCTATTTCGTAACAGCAGCGGAACCATTACAGACGTAAACATACTATGCGACTATAGACAAAGCATACTCAGACTATGATGAGACGTGACACAACTGGCAGTAGCACTATTGTTTTATAATGGAGTAAAAATACGGGGAAGGGGATACAGATCAATAGAAAGGGAAACAATATAGCACTCTACAAAAATGTTTTTTATAAAAGCGCCTTCGCTCCATAGTTCACT